TGTGTGTGTGTGTGTGTGTGTGTGTGTGTGTGTGTGTGCACTCTTGTGCCTGCTTGAGTTTATGTGTACCATGTACAGTCTGTGCAGGTGCTGGATCCCCTAGAACTAGAGTTACAGGTGGTTGTGAGCTATCATCTGGGTGCTGGGACTGAATGCAGGTCCTTTGCAAGAGCACTAGGTGCTCCTAACTGCTGAGCCACCTCTCTAGCACTTCTGTTATTTTTCTTTATGACACCTCAGGATCTAACTTACCATAGGCCAACAGTCGCATTGAGGGTGTTGTCTCCTCAGGGTTTATGCTTTTCAAACCCTCACTGGCTTTTCTAAAAGAAAAACACATTTTTAAATTTTATTTTTAAAGGAAAAGCCATATATTAGGCAGGTCAGAGGACCCTTCAAAACTAGGTACTTAGTGAGGCTTCTGATCAGGTTACATTCCAGATTATAGTCTAGAATCCATTTAAGTGAAACCCAGCACATTTTTGATAATTGAAGTCAAATGAATTGTCTACCAACCTCATCTCCATAAAAGGAAAAGCTAAAAATATTAATAACAAGCCAATAGGGGTTGAATTCAATGGGAATAATAGCAATGTTTTAATTTCTGGGGTCAATAAATATTTATCTTATTATCCTGAGGGATCTACCACTCTGAATTTTCTACTTCCCAAGGTGTTGTGTCTTTATCTCCAATTTACTGGCATCTGTTGTATATTTCACTATGCCTTTATTCTCTCAATCCCCATTCCACTTTCCATGCCAAAAAACCAAAATCATTCTCACCTTTCTAACAGCAGTTTTTTTTTTCTTTTGGTGCAGTAACTAGGCTCATGCCTCATACGTGCTAAGAACATGATCTATCACTGAGTGATGCCTGCAGCCTGTCCACAGCCATTCCCATTCCTCCCAATAGCAATATATTAAAGTAGATGATATATTGAGGAGTCAAATTCTCATATTGGTACTTAATAATAAGGTCTTTTGATTCTAAAATATTTTACATATTTGACTCATATTTCGAACTTAGGAGCACATGAAGTCTGACACTTTTATAATATCCTGTATGAAATGCTGCCTTTAGAATTGGCTATAAATACTTAACTGGAAAAACCAATATTTTCAGTAATAAATCAATCTATATCCAGCCAGTTCACAAATATACCAAGAATATGCCTCTGCCTGCTCCCTTATTGCCATGCAGACATATTAGGAATGCTAGGTGTGATTTGTTATACTATTACTATCTCTATTACTAATCCCTGCTGGTCAGAAACTCTTCAATCATTTGAAAACTAACTGAAAGGATATTTAAATTATCCATACTGTAAAGTATATCTATTAAAGTAACAAAAGAACCAATACTTTGGAATGACCTGTCAGCCAGTGCTGAAACAAAAGGAAGTGAGATGAACCCTCACCTAAGAGAGACAAGTTAACCAGAACATACTTATTTCCCAGACATTGCATTATTTTAAACTTCTGGGAAGCCAGGTGTGGTGGTTCATTCCTGCAATCTTAGCACTTGAGAGGCTAAGGTAGGAGGACTACTGCATGCTCAAGGCCAACCTGGGCTATGCTGTGACACTCTACTCAAAAGACCAATGTAAAATAAAATTTAAAATCTCAGTTATTACTATTGGCTTATTCGTTGTAAGGGGCCATGGGCCCAAAACTATGTGGCTTAAAGCCCACCTTTGTAAGCCTTTTAATGACCTTTAAGTTTGCGGCTTAAAGCCAGCTCTGTGAGCCTCCTGTAACCTGTATTTAGACACGGTTTGGCCAAGTGGAACTGCTAACTGCTTCTGTTCCGAGAAAGGGTCTGGGGCTTTTCTGTTCGCTGTTCCAAGGAAGACCACTAGATGTTCCGGCTAAGAAGAATGTTCCAGTCCCAGCAAATACCTGATGTTCCTTCTGTTATTCCCCCCAATTCTATTGTTGCAGGGCTATTTAAGCCTACTCTAAGCCCCAATAAATTGAAACCTTGACATTGCACAGACGGACTCTTGTCCTTTCTCGAGCCGCCTGGTCTCCTTTCTTTCTCTCGCCCATGACTCTTTCAGGCAGCTCCCCTTCGGAACCCTGAATAACTGGACCCGCGGGACAGGTCAATTCGTTACATAAACACAGAATCACTGTAAAAATATAAATATTTGGTAGTGTAGAATTCAAACAAAATAGCCATGTGAATAGTGAAAAGTCTCCTATGCTTTTCTAGAATCAAAAGGAACAATTTAGGATTTCAGTGTTGTCTATTTGGAAACACTGTTTGGCTGGAAGGATGTGACCCAGATATTAGTGTGACTATCTTCATATTTCTCTGAACAGCAACCAACTAAATTTTCCCTAATAAAACAAATCTACCTGTAGGGGGAATTCTGTTAAAGGTTAGTTCAACCTTATGAGTTATACAGCAGCAGTAATCTACAGCAACAAATATACCCATGTAGTTTAGTGAATAAATTTGGGAGGGTTTCTGTTTTGTGTAAGTTGTTTTTCTTTATTGGACACTGCAATCAGGAATATGTTAAGTTTCTAGGGATGGTGACCCTTGTCAGAAATACCAGCAAGGTCAGAAGTCCAAGATCATTCTCAACTACATACTGAGTCAGAAGCTATGTGGGATACACGAGACCTCCACTTTTAAAATAACTTTTAAAGTTTTACAATAAAATAAAGCAAAACAAAAGCAAAAGCAAAGAAAAATTCAAATGGCTTATTTCTATTTATAATCTCACTCTCATCTGTACGCTCAAAAAAGAATAAATGAGCCAGAGGTGATGGAGCACCCCTTTTATCCCAGCACTCAGGAGATAGACGCAGGTGTGTCTCTGTGAGTTCAAGGCTGGCCTGGCTTATACATACATACATACATAATAATTTATCAATAGTTTTGAATATATATTATAAAAAATGGAACTTTTAATTTTTGTTCTTGGGAATCTGGTGGTAAATGTAATGGAATTTCTACTTCAGTAAACAGAAGAGACATCCTGCCTAGCACAGTCAGCTATTCTGTTCATCAGAAACTTGGAAACTCATCACATTTTGTACTTTCTCACTTCCTTATTTAACAGTGAACTAACTGTCAGTGCTGCAACATTCCTCACAAACTGTTGTAACACAGAATGAGGAAGTTTAGGCAACTTCTGAATTCATGTATTTAAGATATTTGGAGTTTTCCTTTTGTTTATTTGTTTGTTTGGTTTTTGAGATGGTCTCATGGAACTGACTGACTTCAATATCATTATGGAGCTAAGATTACAGGTATGTGCCATCATGCCCATTTTATCAGGTCCTGGGATGGAGCCCAGGGCTTCGTGTTTGATAGGCAACTACTCTCCAACTGTGTTACATCTTGTAGCCCCTAATACACCACTTTAGGAAATTTAAAAAACAAACTGATACTTCATTAAAAAAAAAAAAAAGTCCAAAACTGTAGCTGGACTGGGCTGGAAAAATGGCTCAGCAGTTAAAAACACTAACTGCTCTTATAGAGGACCCTGGTTCAATTCCCAGCCCCCACACGGCTGCTCACAGCTGTCTGTAAATCCAGTTTCAGGAGATCTAACATCCTCATACCAATGCAGATTAAAAAAACAAAAACAAAAACAAAAAAACAAAAGAAACCTGTAGCAAGGGTGAGGGGTATAGGTCAGTGGTGGAGGGACAATCAAACCCATAGCAGTGGTTATTTTAGCTTTTTTTCTTTTCCATAAATGTAAGATTTTTCTAAACTCACCAAATATGTGTTTATATTATAATAAAATTATTAAATTATTATAAAATAATAAATTATAAAATAATAAAACTGAATTAGGTTATAAAACTTTTAATACAAGCAAAAATAATTCTATATATTTTAGACATTGTGCTGCAGCTTTAGGCAACAAACAGTTATCAAAGACGTTTTAGGTAATGAACAGTTATATTTTAAGCTACATAACTTAGAATGTTTTAACATTTGAATGGAAAGACCCACCACTTGTGATCACATGCCAATTTCTTACACTACCAGGTCTTATCATGCTGACAGTTACAATTCACTCACCAAACAAACAAAAACAAAGCATTCATATATTTTGACTATATTAATTTAAAAGTTTGGTAAACTTCTATGTTCTGTGTTAGAGAAAATGTTGCAACACTAGTAGTTCTCACTATTAATATCCATTCATTAATCCATTTGTGATGAAGTAACTATTCCTGACTCATGAAAAAAAAAAGCTTATTTGACTGCAATGGTTTAGAAATGGGTGTAAATGCTCAACATTTTCATCTTGGAAGCAAATTCAGGCAGCAAAAGTCTGATTAAGGCAGTCCCTTAAATTAAAAGGCTCAATTTTGGCAAAACCTATTTTTGGCAGTGGGATATTAAGAAAAATTTGATTAAACACAAATGATTGTTTTAATGCAGTAATGCATAAGAAATTGATTTAAATGTATCCACTTACATGTTAGTTATTAACAAAGTGCTACAAAAATTGTCAAAATTCTTCAGCTTACTTTAACACAGCTATATAGTATCCAATAATGGTAAATTCTTCAGGAATTTGAGAATTTTGGTTTTGTTAATTTGGGGATTTTTTTTTTTTTTACATAGGATCTCATGTTAATCAGGTAAGTTTTAACTTGGAAGTAAGTAAAGGTTCCCTTGCACTCCTGATCCTCTCAGCCCTATCTCCCAAGTACTAGAATTACAGACCAGGCCTGATAGGAAATTTTTGTAGAATATATCAAAAGCTTATTAAATGTGAATTTTGCAATACAAACAAAGGCATCTATTAATGCATGTTTCTCTGATCAACTGTTTGCAAATTTCCCAAACATCCTTTAAGAACGAGAATAGTTTCCCTAGGAAACCAGAGGTTTCTCTGAACTTCCTAGCTGGATAGCCTGCAAAAACTTCAGGATTCCTTCTTCACATGGTGCCACACTCTTACTGCCCTCATTCAAAATGAGGACCTACTTTCAGTTTATAGTCTTTTGGAAACTCTGATTAGTGCTAAGTAAAAGTTGTTGCTTCAAGTGAAAAACTGAAGAAATGGGCATGCAAGAACAGCAGGTACCACATCTAAATCTTGGCACTCTGGTGAAGTCAGGTTTAGAAGAGGTTATTAAACTGTAATGCTGTATTAAAAATTAAGCTTTTTCAAAATTAAAACCATCATTTAAAAGTGCAAAGGCAACAGAAGCCAGTGACAATGCTGATAGAAAACTTAGTATACTATGAGGCTGAGTTATTTGGAAAACAATGTCTTGTCAAAGATCACACTGCAGTATAAGCATTTGGTGAAAAACAGGCACCGACAAAAGGGGGCATGTCCACTGCCAAAGGCAGAAAAAAAAGGCTTAGAAGCTACAACCATGCCTTTGGAGGTTCCTGTGAAGAACTGAGGAGTGCTGAGAACTGACAGAGACCCTATGACAATCACCATGATACAGGATCATTTTGATTACCCTAATAATAATATACAGTTAAAATTTATATTGTAGATTGAGGGTTGAGGGTGTGAACTGCTTGCTTTTCATGTGCAAGATCTTGGCTTCAATCTCCAGTACTTTAAAAGAAAACAATAAGTTAAATCTTAGGATGGTAGTAACTAACTTGTGCATACCAGAAACATTTAACACAATTAGATGTCCTCCCTGTAAAAATTTAAATGTTTCTGGGCCATGGTGGTGGTGTACTCCCTTAATCCCAGCACTCAGGAGGCAGAGGCAAGCAGATCTCTGTGAGTTTCAGGACAGCCTGGTCTACAAAGTCAGCTCCAGGACAGCTAGGGCTGTGACACAGAGAAACCCTGTCATGGAAAAAAAATTAAATTTTACTTTTTGTTTCTTTCAAAGTTCTGGGATCAAGGTCTTATCTTCTGAGTAGCTTGGGACTACTGGCTGGTGGCCACCATGCCCAACTTTAAATGTTCCTTTTTCTCTCTCTTTGCTCTTTCTTTCATTTTTCTAAAAATAATACTGGAGAATCAAAACCACCAGGGTTCTGAGCACATTAGCATGGGCACTACCTTCAAAGCTATGTTCCCAGTCCTTAACATTACCTTCAATATTTACTTAATGCAAGTCTTTAAGTTTTTCCCAGAGACTAGTAATTGCAATTTTTAAACTTTTTCAAAAATATATCTTTTTAAAGTTACATTTATTTATTAGTTATTTTCTGTGTGTGCATGCAGGTGAGCACATTAATACTATGGTGTACTTGTAAAGAGCAGAAGACAACTTGAGGGAGTCCTTTCTTTTCTTCTACCTTTAAATGGGTCCAGGGATTGAACTCAGGTCATCAGGCTTGGTGGCAAACACCTTTACCCACTGAATTGCCATCATGCCAGGCAACTAAAAACTATGCTTTTTGCTTCTAAGCAATAGCTTCCTGGTTTTCAATTTGTAACTTAGGTTGCTTCATTATAAAAATGGAATCTAACATTTATTACTAAAAGCAAAAATTTTTTTAATACAGAATAATAACATATTAGGAAATCAAATTACCAGAAGCCTCTTCAAGGTTGCTGAGAATCACTTTAGGTTTATTTATGAAATCCATGGAGAGTCTCATTGGCAGAAATGAAAACAGGGCAGCACATTTATCACTCCACTGAGCTTTACTACACAAGCAAAGCTAATCTCATGACTTGCTGAAATAACACAGGGTTCCAAGTACAAGCTGTGTCTCAAATTAGTGGTTTCCTGTGAGGTCCTCATGGATCTGACAGATGACCACATCCTACCACCCCCAAAAGGGAGCTCGTGCCTTAGGCTTTAAGGAAAAATGCATTTTTTCATTTTGCAGACTTAAAACTATAGAAAATGTTTTTAAAATGAACCTTTTTTCTCACAAATAGTCAAAACAACTGAAGGCATAATCTCCATAAGAATAATGTACTTAGGTGGTAGGAGGGAAACATGAAGTCCAAACAGGAAGGCTCTTTGTTGTTTTAGTAATTATTTCTCTGGGCTATTTTTCTTCAAGGTACTTCTCATCTTTTATTTGTTCATTCATTTCTTGCTAGTTTCCTCCATTGTAAGCTCCAGGTCTGACCTCCCCTCTTTCTATTTTTTTAAGACAGGTCTCACTATACTCTGGCTGTCCTGGAACTCTCTAGGTAGACCAGGTTGACCTCCTGCTCAGAGATCCACCTGCCTTTGCCTTCTCAGTGCTTAGATTAAAGATCTTCAGTTTCTACAAGTTGGGCACTGGGCTTTTGACATTGGGCAAATTCAAGAAACATTTTTGGGAGGAAGGAGATGAAAGAGGGGGGAAAAAGAGGGAATGACAGAAGGCAAGCAAGCCAAGTCATAAGTTTAAATATTCCATATTTTCAGGCTAGAAATGCACCAATCACCAAATCATAACTCATGTCTAACTGGGAAAATAAACATTTAACTTACTTTAACAGTCTGTAATATGCAAGCCTGAACAGTTCTTGGATACAGACAGAGAGCAACACTCCGAAGATGAGCAAGTACTTCTGTATAGGTCCATCTTTGTTGTCAGTAATGATTCTCACTAGGTACCAAAACACAGAGGAAAGCAGGAGAGATACCAGCCAGAAGAAAGCACTGGAATGTAGAAGGAAAAAGCCACAAGTTAACAGAAACACGAGATTAACAATGACTTCAAATCTGCTGGAGAAGAAACCAAGATCTTGATTTTTTTTTAGTTGGGAAAAAATCCTCGAAGTGGTGTTCTGCATCCTAGTGAGAAAAACAGTCCAAGAGAAATGTCACATTCCCTCAACAAGAACGTGCTCAGGGACCCTGTCATGTGCACACTAAGGCACTACCTGCCAAGGACTGGCTAAGAGGAACTTGGTTGTCAACTATTTTTCCTAAGAGATGCTTTGCCTCTTCGGTGTGCCATAGAAATACACAACCAGTAACTATTGCAATTTTCATATCCTCAAAATTCGCTAGAAAGTTTGTATTTAATGACTAGATATCTGTAAAGGTAAGTGTCTTTTTCTGACAGAAAACGAATACCTAAACTTGTATTAATAGCATGCGCCTTGTAAAATTCAGAAGTTGCAAACCGCTGCTCAGGTATTTTCCAGGCCTGGTTCTTACAACCCTCCGGTGGATTTTAGTGAGACAGCAAGCTTTATAAACCGTTGGGTCAGCAGACTCTAATGTTTTTTAATTACAATAGCAAGAAGCACTATTCAGTATAGTCAAAAAGAAGCTCAGAAAGGCAGGAGTCCCTGGCCTAGCTATCTGGCCTGATGCCAAGTCCCAGAAACTGTCTCAGCAGGTGCAAAGAGACCAAGACCACATCCACCCGCAGAGTTCGGTATTTATCAAGCTCTCAGCGGGACATGCCTGGTTAGGTGTTGCCGCGTTTTCTCAGGCTTCCACCCTCTGCTGCACCCCAGTTGTTACCCCGGGGGTCTACAAGAAAAATCTGAGCCCAAACCCCTACTGTCATTCTGAGTCCCAGGATAAGGGTTGAGGAGGGGTGGGCCACTTTTCCCCAGGTGACTTTAATGACAGGATGAGAACGACTCTTCGATGCCACTGAGCACCTGGTGAAAGGAGACTCCTACTGAAAGACGAAGGCTCCACACACGAATGTATCTCAGTGTTGCCACACTTAGCCCACAGAAGCCTAGATCCGCAGGGCGCGCCTGCTCAGCCCGCCCTTCTCCTCAGACCCTCTCCGGAGGGGAGGAGCCTCCCCTCCCTTCAGCCCTCGATGTCCCACAGGCTGGAGACACTAGGGGGTGGTGATCCCCGAGGTCACAGGAGCCCCGGCACGGGAGGGGACCCGCTGTGACAAGGACTCGGGGGCAGTCTCACCCGGCGATGAGGAAGGTGACGCGCAAAGGGTCGGTGGCGATGGTGAAAACGTAGAGAGCGAGCGCGGGCCCGAAGGCGATGAAGGCGCAACCGAAGAACACGGCTGCGGTCATGACGACAGGGGAAGCCAGTCCAGGGAGCCTGAGGGGACCTGAGGTGCGTAGGGCGCTGTCTTAGCGGGTTGCCGGGCGGGGCAGGCCTGCCCCAGGTGTTCTGTGCTCAGTCAGAGCAGGAGGCGGGGCCTGGAGAAGCTCTACAACAAGGCAGAGCCGTGTGCGGGGCGGAGCCCGGGAGGCGGGGCCTCGAGCTGTTCCACAGCACCGCAGAGCCGGGGGTTGGAGCGGAGCTCGGGAGGCGGGGCCTCAAGCTGCTGCACAAGGCGGAGCCCGGGGGTGGGGCGGAGCTCGGAAGGCGGGGGCGGAGCTCGGGAGGCGGAGCCTCGAGCTGCTGCACAAGGCGGAGCCGGGGGTGGGGCGGAGCTCGGGAAAAGAAGAAGGCTGGAGGTGCTCAGCTCTTGATCGCAGATGAGGGCCAAGGCGACGCTCCGGAGTCGATTCCGGCAGGTGCTCCAGGCGCTAT